TTATGGACTAGCTTCTTTGCCCATATTCGTCCTTGATGTGGGAACTCTTGCCTATTTAACACTGCACCCGGGCGCCGGTGCAGCGGCCCTTGCACACTTGTCACTGTATTCAGGCCATACAGCGCGTCACTTCCAAGGGACGTCCTAGCATTAACACAATTTCTTAAAGGATTCATGTCATTATTATTCGACAAGTTTTACGCTGGCTGTCGACTACCTAACGCAACCCTCCACTTTTTTCATCCAGGACTTGGAAAATTTCCCTTAATTTCTATCACATTTTAATTATATTACTTTTTTATTTTAATTATTTCTATTGATTGCTTATGTATTGTTTCTACAAAATCTCCTATGCATTTTAGTATACAACAACAACATCAAGCCTTTTTTGTGGGGTCAGCTACATGAATCCTTTTTTTTCTATTATGTCCTATTAAGATTCAAATTCTCATTTAAATCTCATAAAGAAATGTCATTTCTAATATTTTATAACCAAGCCTTTTTAGATCTACCTCTAACTTTCTTAACATAAGCCAAATATAATATATCTACTCTCTAACTAGGTCATCGGAAGACCGCCATTTTATGTTGACCAAACCATCTAAGGTGACTCTTTCTAATCTTATCTTCTACTAGAGCTACTAAATCTTTTCACGTATATGCTTGTTTTATATCCTATCTCTGAGAGTAAAGTCAATCATCCACCTGAGTCTCTACAACACTTGACTTATTAAGCTTCTCTTTTAATGGCCACCATTTTATAGAATTTTTCCTTAAGTTTGAGGGAGACTTTTCTATCACATAATAACCCCGACGTATTCCTCCACTTCAGCCATACAACTTGAATTTTCCCTATATATTTTAGTATGTTTAGACTAAAAACCCATTTATTTTCTCTTGGTTTTGCACTATGTATAACTCTTTCCAATTTGAATCTTTTAAGAAAATAAGTTTTAAAAAATAAAACAAAAAATGTCATTTTCTCTTTTTCATTATTTTTTAGCATACTATCAATGTAGACTTAATCAGTTTGCAATTAACAAGCATATAT